AATACTCATTTTTCTACAGTTAGTCCCCAGAACTAGGTAAAGTTCTTTAAACCAAATATTTTATTTCCATTCTGAAAACTGAATCGTTGATTTTGCCTATGCAACAACCATAATCCTCCTCTTCTTGGAAAGAGTACTTCAGTCATCCTTGCGGAACTGGCCAGGAGTAGGCCCAGGACTGAGATCAAGCCAATTAAAGCCCCACAGTTTCCCCCACCCAGTAGCTAGATCAGTGATATGTTAAGAATCTAGACTGGACCACTTGTAGACCCCTCAGGATGGTTCCTAATACTTCTGGGAAACCAGCAGGGTTGCTAAGCTGCTGGAACACACCCCAGGGGCAGAGTCAGAGTTTACCTATGATTGAAGTAGCCATAGAAGAAAGCAAGAAGCCAGGACAGGAGAAGGCACAAGACATAACAGCATGTGGTCTGCACCTCTAGGTCCACCTGTGCATGAAGCCATTTATCCCCTGGAATTCTCATGCTGTAACCTACAGCAATGTGTGCTTTTGACACCTCCAACTGCAAACCCTGTGCACGAAGCACCTGAGAGAACCAGAGGTAGAAAGGCAGCAACAGCCAAACAACAAAAGGACAGAGAATAGGCCCTTCCCTGAACCTCCAATAGGGCCTCAAGTAGGAGTGCAAAGACATCAGCCAGGCTCTCCCCAGCCACAGGTGACCCACAGCCCCAGACCAACCAAGGAAGAACCGCATCCTTCCCAGGAGGGCTCGGCACTCCCTGTGAATGAGGCACCCCCAACCAACGTCTGGGATCATCTGCTCTTTTTTGAGAGTGACTCATGATAGGAATGATAAAATAACAGCTGGATCATCATACATGCAGGGGACAAGCTGGGGGAAAAATTTCTGGCATAGTTGAAAACACAGAATTCAAATCAGAGTAGAGACTGGAAAGAAACTAAACAAAACAGCAAACAGAACAAAACTGGAAAAAAAAAAATTCCAAGGCTAGGGTTATGCCCCAGGAGGTAAGAAGTATTCCATAAAAATGTGCTCCAACGGCTTGAGGAGCTGGGTGGGGAAATTCTTTGCAAATCTAGAGTTCCCTATCATGAGAGACAGAGGCTTTTCGCAGTTTCAAACAGCACAGGTGGGTCTGTGGTGAAGGCACACATCTCTGTACCCCGTGCCTCTGTGCCACCAAGGTGTGGCTGATCGTGTGCTGACAGAAAGATGCTCACCTTTCAGTTGGGGTCTATATCAAGTCCCTAAGGAAACTATGGGGAGTGGCTTTTCACCAGCCATCACTGAAGATCAAGCTCGGCTGTCAGGGAGCTGTCTCTCCACTGCCCTCCCCAAACCTAACGATCACAGGTCAATCAACATTGTGAAAACCCAGTCCCAGGCCAGGCGCGGTGGCTCACGCCTGTAATCCCAGCACTTTGGGAGGCCGAGGCGGGCGGATCACGAGGTCAGGAGATCGAGACCATCTTGGCTAACACGGTGAAACCCCGTCTCTACTAAAAACACAAAAAAACTAGCCAGGCGTGGTGGCGGGCGCCTGTAGTCCCAGCTACTCGGGAGACTGAGGCAGGAGAATGGCGTGAACCCAGGAGGAGGAGCTTGCAGTGAGCCGAGATCACGCCACTGAACTCCAGCCTGGGCGGGCAGAGCGAGACTCCATCTCAAAAAAAAAAAAAAAAAAAAAAGAAAAGAAAAAAGAAAACCCAGTCCCAATCAATAAATATGGGTGAATTAATTGACCTGAACATCTTCACTTCAGATGGCAGCTCCACCTATGTATGTCTGGCAGCCTCCTATGTTTCTACATGTACTTTATTTTTTTAAAAGCAGATGACAGAGAATGCTTGGGAAAGGGGTACACCCCACCTTTCCCACAGTGTTCCATCAGTGTGGTCCATCAACCAGATATATCAGAACTTCCTGGGAGTCTGTTCAAAAACCCAGTCATTCTGGGGGCAGAGCTGAGGGGCTGCCACTCTCTTAACAAGCCCCCATGGTGATTTCTAGGCATGCTGAAGTCAGTGTCATGGTGTCCACTGCAGGACACTTGAACGTGTGCAATACTCCACAATCCTCAATTCACTGGCTTTATCTTTCCTGAGGTACAGTCCATGAGTGAGGATACATCTCCATCTTCCTACCGGACAAAAGGGTACAACGATCATTACAAGGAGGCCCAGTTGGGGTAGCTGAGACCACAGATCACTTAACCAAACCACACGGGCTCTCCGGAAGACAACAGGCCAGTTAGGACAATATGGACAGTGCCACATTCTTTTCAACAGTCATCATTTCAGCCAAAAGAGAAAAGACTATTATAACTCCGTTTCAGCCATGCTAACAATAACTTAAAGTCTAATAACTGTTGCTCATCCCGTAGAAAAATGAAAAGAAAAAAATCCTTTATTTCCCTCATACCAGAAAAACAGTAAGACATCATCTTCATCATCTTCACTAACTGAAGGTGGCTTCCTGTTGGTTAGAGAAATCAAATTTTATATCAGCTGGGCAGGGTGCTACACTCTTGTAGACCCAGCTACTCAGAAGGCTGAGGCAGGAGGATCACTTGAGCCCAGGAGTTCAAATCTAGCCTAGGCAACCTAGCAAGACCCTGTCTATAAAATGAAGTTTTTTTTTTTTAATAAAAAATTTATCAGTCTCCAAAAAGTGGGCTAAAAAAACCTTTATACTCATATACTTAAAGAATTTTGAAGAAAAACAAACATTTCAGACTTGACTTCTAGATGGTAGACCAGGAAAAGGTAAACTGCCCATGTGCTTACTTGTCTCCCCTGGCACTTTCTTCTAAGGAAGAAAGATCTCTGCAGGTGTCAGTTAACCTGCTGCCAGGAGGGAGCCAGGAAGGGCTGACTGCATAGGAAGAACCAACCCCTAAGCTGGTCCACGCCACCCTCCCGGGGAGTAGGAGGTCCACCCTCAGGAAGTCACCTAGGCAGCTTCTCCCAGGATCTGACAGTCACTGAAACAGATACAGCAGAGCTCAAATTAAATGTCACTTGGCCTCCTAGAACTTGATATGTACTTAATTTTCTTTTTTTTTTTTTTTTTTTGTTGTTGTTGTTGTTGTTGAGACAGAGTCTCGCTTTGTCGCCCAGACTGGAGTGCAGTGGCCGGATCTCAGCTCACTGCAAGCTCTGCCTCCCAGGTTCACGCCATTCTCCTGCCTCAGCCTCCCGAGTAGCTGGGACTACAGACGTCCGCCACCTCGCCCGGCTAGGTTTTTGTATTTTTTAGTAGAGACGGGGTTTCACCGTGTTAGCCAGGATGGTCTGGATCTCCTGACCTTGTGATCCGCCCGTCTCGGCCTCCCAAAGTGCTGGGATTACAGGCTTGAGCCACCGCGCCCGGCCCTGTACTTAATTTTCTAAAAGCAGAAGTCAAGTATCAAAACATACACAAGGGATTTAATTTGTTATCAACATGCCCCTACTATTTAGTCTCTGGGAGGAGCAGCTTGTGAGTGCAGACTGCACAGGCAGGTGGGGAAATGCAGTCTTTCTAAAGACTGAGTGAAGAAAAGATGGGGTCTGGAGACCTGGTTTTGGCTGTTCCTGCCAATACAGGAAAACAGGGGTATGGCAAGGAGCTGCACCTCCCCCTCAGTGTACAGGATCAAACACTGTGACTGCACAAAGGGCAGGCAGCAACACTTCATAAAGGCATATGAGAATTCTTGAATGCTCCCCTACCTCTCCTATTCCTCAAAGCAGTCTTACAAATGACCAAATTATGAACAGCATTCTTTTAAAAATCATGCCAAAATGCAAATAACGTGATGTGGCAGAGAGAGGAGATGGGAATCCAGGGACCAGGGTCAATGCTGTGACCGCTCTATGGCACCAAGAAGCCAGTACCCAGGGTCCTTGCTTCTAAAACCAGATGCTTGCGGCCGGGCACGGTGGCTCAAGCCTGTAATCCCAGCACTTTGGGAGGCCGAGACGGGCGGATCACGAGGTCAGCAGATCGAGACCATCCTGGCGAACACGGTGAAACCCCGTCTCTACTAAAAAATACAAAAAACTAGCCGGGCGAGGCGGCGGGCGCCTGTAGTCCCAGCTACTCGGGAGGCTGAGGCAGGAGAATGGCATAAACCCGGGGGGCGGAGCTTGCAGTGAGCTGAGATCCGGCCACTGCACTCCAGCCCGGGCGACAGAGCCAGACTCCGTCTCAAAAAAAAAAAAAAAAAAAAAAAAAAAAACCAGATGCTTACTCCAAACCCTTCAGTCCCAAAGGCCCCCATTCTGACCAGTGATTCAATTCCTTGCCATCTCCATGGTGTTATGAGAAACCCAAGCTTCCGATCAGCCCAGCCACAGGTCACCAACTGAGGGAGTGAATCCCAGCCACAGCCAAGCAGCAGATGTTTTTGTTAGCCTGTGGGGCTTCATGGTGGGCAAAAAAGTAGCACTTCCCTTCAGGCTTTGGAAATGTGAAAAGCAGCCTTCAGAACCCTTCCCTCCTCTGAGGATGGCCGCTGTGATCCTTAGGCAGAGATTCCCCGTTTCTAACACACTGTGGCTCTGCTAGAGAAAACACTGGCTGATGGGAGACGACGAAGTCAACCGGAGACTGGACACAGCAAACGGGAGCCTTTAATGGCTACTCACCCCCACCGCACAGGACAGGCCGAGCTATGAATTACCATTTGATCAGTATAATTTTCCAGCTTGAGACATCTGAAAAACATGCAGAGCTGCATGGGAAAATCTACATTCCCATGATCTCGTGCTTAATTTAGACCTGGCTGGTGGATGTGGTGGTGCTAACTGCTAGGCTGTAGCCATCTCGCGAGGAGCCTGCAAGAGTGTGGAAGGAGGGGCAGTGGATCCCCTCAGGCAGGGCCTGCTGACTTCTGGTTTCAGGCACAGTAGTGACATAACATATTTTCTCAAAGAGAGCTCCAGAGGCTGGCCAAAGAACAAGTATTTTTACACTGTGCATGTACAAGTGCAAGACCACAGCTGCAAGAAAAACAAGTGGTTTGCTCACCTCTGCCCTCCCATCTGTGCCTCCAGGAGGTCACATCTGACTTCCCACAGCAGCTTGGGAGGAACAAGGCAGATGTCGGAGGTAGTTACTTGCAGAGACTGGTAGCAGTGATGGTTGATGTCCGCTGAGCCTCATCTGAGCAGTACTGTGGGATGGGTGGTGAGCCAGGGTCTTAAGAGACCACAAGAGCAGGCTCACCTCAGCTGAAGCTCAAAGGATGAGCCCCTGCATCCCAGAGGTGGGCCCTGAGGGGTTAACTCTTTATGTGTCACTCACATGCTGCACTCTCGTTTCCAATCACTTTCCCTATGACCGGAACCGGCTCCTGCCTTGCACTCTACCCACCTGCCATTTCCCCCACCTAGCATCCTTCCTCTATCTGTCACTAGACTGGCTCCTTGTCACTCAGATCGCATGGCCTCCTCAGAACCCATCAGGCACTCTCTATCAATGTCACCAGCTGTCTTCTGGAACAGGGCTCCTCCTCTATCTGACATTTCTTACATGCCTGTTTTATCTGTTTCTCTCCTGCCCCCACACCACCCCTCTGAGAGCAGGGCCCAGCCTGCCTCTTTGCCACTGTCTAGAACAGTGCCTGGCACACACTGAACCCTCAACAAACACCTTCCATGTGACACACAAGCAAAAAATAAGAACACTGTTAAAGATACCCATTATCTCGCCACTCAGAGACTGCCAGAGTTCACACCTTGAGGCTGTTCTCCCAGTTCCTGTTTCCCTTTTGGTCTCCATCTCTTGAGTTAAAGGGCAGCTGCTGTATTGTCTGCCTAACAATAAACTGCCTGGGAACAGGAACAGCCCTACCAGTGCTTAACACATGCTCCACATGAACCAGCACCTGCCGAAGCCCAGGCACCACAGGGCCTGAGAATCCACTGGATGCCTCTTACAGCTGGACTCAGGAGCAACACCAGGAGCCTGGGCAGCAGCCTAGGGCTGAAATATGTGGTTCTCACTCCGGCCACAGGGATTATGTCCTGCCTTTCCAGCTGCATGGTCTGAGGCAAGCTGAGCTTTCCTGAGCCTCTGTTTCCACACCTCTCAAATGGAGGTAACAGGTGCTGCTCAGCCTGGCTGTGAGGGTTGGTAAGAGTAGGACTGGCAAATAAGAGGTGTCCAAATACCTGCCTCCTTTCCTATGTCCTGCCAAGGTGCATATGTCTACAGGGATGTTTCTCAGCAGGTTACTGAGGACAGCTCGGCAGCAGATGAAAGCCCACAGAAGTATCCCTATGAGAACACACTGGGTGGGAATCACCTACCAGAGGAGTGGGTGGCATTGTCTACTACAAGCATCTCTCTCCAGACTATACACACAACCTGTTTAAAACCATCACCAATCTTGCTTGTTCTTCTCCTCTACAGCTGGCATTTCCAAGCAAAGTTTCAGATGTGCTCTTTGATACTAGTAACAGAACAGAATTAAAACAGCAGTAAGAAACAGAAGAGGCTCTCTAAGCAGAGGCTGGTGAATACTAATTAGCAGGTCACATGTGTCCACTGATTGAATCTTCGTAACAGTCCTATGGAGGAGTGATTCTTCTTATTCATATCTTACAGAGGAGGAAAGTAAGGTAAAGAGAGGCTAAGTAACTGACCCAAGGCCGCACTACCAGCAACTGGTGTGACTAGGATTTGCTCTCAGACTCTGACTTCTGATCCCATCCTCTTCATCCCTATTCTTATTCTCATTCTTTGTAGCTTTAGACAAATTCAGTGCTCAAAATCGTGAGAACAAGGAACTTTCCTTTGCTGAATCTGCAGGCCTAGAAAGGTACCTCTTGTCTAGATGTTTGAGGCCAAAAGATGGCATGGAAACAACTGTTTTCCGACCTCACGTTCTGTGAGCCATAAGAGATTCTTTCCCCAGCCTCTCACCAAGTCAAGCAAGCAGGAGCAAAGATGCTACAGCTAGAAGGGCTTGGAAGTCAACCACGTGCAGATGCCAGGACCCAGAGCGGTTCAGTGCTAAGCCAGGATAGAACCTGACATTCCCAGCTCCCTTCAGTGCAGTCAGCAAAAAGGAAGAGGCTTTAACGCTATTCAAACAAACTTTTACCTTGAAATGTGGAAAGTTCTACACACTGGCAATAAAATGGAGTCAGTCAGGGTCGAGGTCCAAAATAACAACACAGAGACTCTAAAACTATTCTTAAAAACGTGTTCTTCAGAACTCACATCCTTAAGAAATGATGCCTCTTTGGCTATTAACAGTGTCTTCTACTAAATCAGTCACACTGACTTTAACACCCTGAGAAACCTGCACTGTTCCTTTGAAATAGCTGTTGTCATCTGAAATACCAATCAGGAAAAAAAGTCTCTTCATGTTGAAAGGTAAACTTCCTTTTTTGGTGCAGAGTAAAAATACTACTTCCCTCTTTCCTCCTCTGCTGGAGACATTCCCAGTGTTTTATTTACTGTGCAACACTGACTGGATACATTAGGAGGAAATGTTCCTTCCTAACTCTTAAATGTCAGAGTCTACCCCACAAAAGGCACGAGCCAGCCCTAATGTTTTCTTGTTGTTCCTCTGTCTTCTTAAATGTTTTATTAGGTAACATTAGGTATATATAAGAGAATATGTGCAAACCACATGTGAGGACAAACAAAATGAGTCCCCATGACTCCACAGCTCCCTCAAGGCCTGGAACATGACCACCATGTCCAGCCACCTGGCCCCTCCTCACTTCCCTCTCCCCACCTCCTTGACCCCCAAGGCAAACAGCCCTGGTACTGGGTTTTCAGTCCCTCACTTTAAAAAAAAAAAACTGTATTGCACACTAGTAAAACTGAACAGTATGCCGTCTTCCCCGGGCTGCCTGTGGCATTCTATACTGCTTCTGAAGTTCTCTCTATTGCTATGCACAGCTAGCTGCCACTCACCCACTGTCACCACTGTGTGCCATGTGATCATGCCAATACTGAACAATGTGCTTACCCGTGTTTCTGTCCATGGACATCTGGGTTATTTCCAGATTTCTGCTACTGTGAAAAGTGCTTCTAGGCCGGGCGCGGTGGCTCAAGCCTGTAATCCCAGCACTTTGGGAGGCCGAGACGGGCGGATCACGAGGTCAGGAGATCGAGACCATCCTGGCTAATATGGTGAAACCCCGTCTCTACTAAAAATACAAAAAACTAGCCGGGCGAGGTGGTGGGCGCCTGTAGTCCCAGCTACTCGGGAGGCTGAGGCAGGAGAATGGCGTAAACCCGGGAGGCGGAGCTTTCAGTGAGCTGAGATCCGGCCACTGCACTCCAGCCTGGGCGACAAAGCGAGACTCTGTCTCAAAAAAAAAAAAAAAAAAAAAAAGAAAAGTGCTTCTATAGCCGTGCATGTCTCCTGGGATACATGGGCCAGTTTTTCTAGAGTCTGTTCCTAGAACAGCTCATTCACAGGATATACAAATTCTCTCTGCAATACATTTTTAAAATATTTTTGCCTGATTTATAACATTGTTTTGTCATCACAAAGATGTATTAAGGCCAGGTGTGGTGGTTCATGCCTATAATCCCAACACTTCTGGGAGTGGGAGAAGGAGATGGAGGATCGCTTGAGCCCAGGAGTTTGAGGCTGCAGTGAGCCATGATCATGCCACTTCAACATGGACAACAGAGCAAGACTCTGCCTCAAAAAAAAAGATGTATTCATAGTTTAGTTGACACCGGTTTGACAAGTACTTTTCACACACTCACTGTGTGTCCAGATCCCCATGCCAGCAGCCACAGGGGATCTGGACAAGCACAGATGTGGCATCCTGTCTGGACTGGGGGAGCAATAAAACGACTCCAAACTGGGTGCTCCAGGCAGCTCCTGAGAAGACGAGGACAAAACTGGGGGCCATCAAGGGCACTGCAATGAAGAATGAGAGGGATGAGTGCCTGAGTATGGAAGAGGAGGCCTCTGCGGGCAGAGTGAGAGCTCTCAGCGGGAGATGTCTGCCACTAAGGTAGCTGGGAACGCAGAGGCTGCAGCAGGCTGAGGCTGCACCAACAGGGCCTCACTAGGCACACAAGAAATCTGCACTTGCCAACTTGGGTTGTCCACCTTCAAAATTTTTGCCAGCTCCTCCCAATAGTAACAATGACTAACACAGAGCACCCACTATGTGCAAGCACTGTCCCGGGAATTAGTCCATTCATTCAATTCTTACTATAAAAGCTTCTCAGTCGGGCACGGTGGCTCATGCCTGTAATCCCAGCACTTTGGGAGGCTGAGGTGGGCGGATCACGAGGTCAGGAGTTTGAGACCAGCCTGACCAACATGGTGAAACCCCGTCTCTACTAAAAATACAAAAATTAGCCAGGCATGGTAGTGCGCGCCTGTAATCCCAGCTACTCAGGAGGCTAAGGCAGGAGAATCGCTTGAATCCGGGAGGCGGAGGTTGTAGTGAGCCGAGACTGCGCCACTGCACTCCAGCCTGGGCGACAGAGTGGAACTCAGTCTTAAAAAAAAAAAAAAAAAAAGCTGCTCTACTGTTTGCTTCCTATTTTTCTTCATATCAATTTACTTTTAAATTCAAATACTCACTTTCAGTAACATATATAAAATCAGGTATTACTGCTATGGCATATGGGAGGATTTTTTGTTTTGTTTCTATTGAGATATAATTCACATAGCATTAAATTCACCATCTTAAAGTATACAACTCAGCGGGGTTTTTTTTAGTACATTCACAATGTTGTGCAATCATCACTATTTCACTATTATTCTAAAACATTTTCAACACTCCAAAAATAAGCCCCATATCCATTAGTGGTCACTACCCATGTCCTCACCCCCAGCCCCTGGCAATGATAAATCTACTCTCTATAGATTTGCCTACTCTGGACATTTCATATAAATGAAACCATATAATATATGAACTTTTGTGTCTGGCTTCTTTCACTTACGTGAAAGGTTCAGTCTTTTCTTTTTTTCTTTTTTGAGACAGAGTCTTGCTCTGTTGCCCAGGTTGGAGTGCAGTGGCACGATCTCAGCTCACTGCAACCTCCGCCTCCTGGGTTTATGCCATTCTCCTGCCTCAGCCTCCCGAGTAGCTGGGACTACAGGCAACCGCCACCACGCCTGGCTAATTTTTTTGTATTTTTAGTAGAGACAGGGTTTCACTGTGTTAGCCAGGATGGTTTCGATCTCCTGACCTCGTGATCCACCTGCCTCAGCCTCCCAAAGTGCTGAGATTACAGGCTTGAGCCACCACGCCCAGCAGGTTCAGTGTTTTCAAGGTTCATCCATGTTGCATTATGCACCCAGTATTCTATTACTTTTTATGGCTAAATAATATTCCATTGTATAGATGGACCACATTTTGTTTACCCATTCATTAGTTGATGGATATTCCGGTTGTTTCTAATTTTTTACTATCGTGCCATGAAGATATTAATATATTCATATTCATAATGCTGAGATGTCCATCTATGTAGTGTTTGTGTGGATAAGTTTTCAGTTCTCCTGGGTAAATACTGAGGAGTGAAGCTGATAGGTCATATGGTAACTACACATTTAACCTTTTCAGGAACTGCCAAAATACTATGGCATTTCTAAGACAAAGATTAAAACTAAGAACATTCAGCTGTATGCCACTTAAAATTATTTTGGGAAATACTGGGGAAGGCAAAGTTACTAAAGTTGATTTTTTATTTTTGTTTGGAGCAGGGAACTCACATTGTCAGGATGGTATTTTTGAATCTTGATCAAGCAGCAGTGGGAGAAAGGATTAGGGCAGAGGCGGGAGGAGGAAGATAGAAAGATGACTGAGAAGCTATACAACATGATGAGCAGAGTCCAGAGCCTGAATCCAGCTGCAGGGGAATGGGAAAGGCAGGCGATGGACATAAACACAGAGTGGGAACATGAACCCTGACAAGCAAATGTCAGTGTGGGTGGGGTAGAAGTGGCTGAATAGCCAGGAGGATGGACGCACCCTTAACAGAAAGGGAAGGTGGAGAGGTTCCAAACGAAGGCAGGAGGCAGCATACTCAGTTTTACTTCAAACAAACATGGCTGGAGGTGCTGACAGGACAGGCCTGGAGAATGAAAACGGCCTAGTGGCAGCTGGTGCCTAGGTCCAGGGCTCAGGAGGGGCACCGTGGCGAACATGTTCATCTCAGAGGAGCATGTGAGAGGACCAAGGGAGAGAGAGAGCAGAGGAAGATGGGGACAAGAATGCAATTAAGGAGGAGGCAAATAGCCATCGGCCAAGTCCAAGAAAGGGCCAAGAGCAGTAGGGGACACAAGAGAACCATCCAGTGCCAGGGAAGCAGAGAATGAAGAGGTCATGCTTTTCTGCCCCATGCAGAGCAGTGCATGCTTGGGAAGTGCCTTCTCCTTCTGATGACCACCAACAAATAGTTCAGACCTTTGTGTGAGACCACATATAACTTCCTAGACATTCTTTTTTTTTTTTTTTCTCCTGAGACAGGGTCTTGCTGTCACCCATGATGGAGTACAGTAGCACAGTCATAGCTGATTACAGCCTGGACCTCCCAGGCACAAGTGATTCTCTTACCTCAGTCTCCTAAGTACA